CTTGCTTGGCCGAGCCCTGAGGGTGGGAAACAAAGCTCCTTGTTGGGAAAGGATCCGGTTTCCAATAGAAAATGGCTAGTGATTATTTCCCACGGACGATCCTGTGCTGATCACTAAAACAAGGAATACAAAGCAAGAGAATTGCCGTTTTGAAACCTTAAAGGCAGTGAACACGAACGATGGGGGTGGGGCCGTTTTGATGACGTCATTGTCGACAGCGGTGGAAGGGCGGCGTGTGTCGGAATCATTTCCCAAAGCTATCCACTAACATCCCGAAGCCGTCACCAAAACCAAACCACCTTTCAACCATCGTGTTCACTGTCTTTAAATTCGAAAAATATTGTGAGGATTTGAGGGCGTATTTACCAAGGCCCACAACAAACAAACAAACAAACAAACCAATTATTCAGTCGTTTCAGTACGGCGAACGACGTACCGTTCTCGGCGCTGCAGCGCGTCACGACGCTGGGAGTCGGCGGTTTTGGTCGTGTCGAACTGGTGAAAGCGAATGGGAAAGTGTTTGCACTGAAGGTGAGTGCTTGAGGGATGAAAATCCTTTTGCCGACTGCCGACAGATCAGCACAGCGCCCGTTTGTTCGTCGTCTGAGTACGGTTGACATAGTGGCACACTTATGAGCTCTGTCTGAACCGCGAACGAGACCGGTTTTTGAGGTGTTCGCTTTCAGGTGATAAACAAGAGACACATTATCGATATGAAGCAGGAGAAGCACGTGGTCTCGGAAAAGGACATCATGCTGTCGAGCGAATGCCCGTTCATAGTAAAGTAAGGAAATCAATATTTATGATAAGTGGGTTGACATTTGCTTTGTAACCCATACATATTGTTATGATTCGGTAGGATTTCTTTGCAAAGGGTGAAAAATCAGCTGCATTGATTATCCAACAACATGGGGTGAAACGTGCCCATTTCCAGGCTCTACAAGACTTTCAAGGATCAAGAAAAGCTGTACATGCTCATGGAGCCATGCCTTGGAGGTGAAGTGTGGACTGCTTTGAAAAGGAGGTTTGTTATCGACATCTTCACCTCCTAATCAGTGGGCAATGATATAAGCCATGCTTTCAACGATGTACACGCATTTGAAAGTGCGAATGGACATTGCCTTAAAGGCAGTGGACACGACGGCTGGAGGGTGGAGCGATTTGATGACGTCATCGGCCGTCATTGGTGGCGTGGGCGGGACCAGCTCTTCCGCTAATGGCGCTCAATGAAGTATACAAAAAACCGACCCTTTCTTCCAACCTTCGGTTCATTGCATTTAAAAAAACGCTTGCAGGAGTCGATTTGATAACGACGCGGCGCGGTTTTACTGTGCAGCGGCGATCGAGGCGCTCCAGTACCTACACGATGAAAACATTGTCTTCCGAGACTTGAAACCGGAAAAAACGATGATCTCGGACCGGGAACGGATATCCCAAATTGTGAGCCTTTTCTCATTTAAGTCCAGCTTTAAGGAACTCAGTGGTGAAATTGAACTTCAGAGGAAGTTTTTGAAGTAGCTGACTTGTGACTTTTGCAGGTCGATTTTGGATTCGCGAAACGTTTAGGCGAAAAAGGTCAAACCTGGACGTTTTGTGGCACTGCTGAATATGGTAAGCGCCTAATTTCACTCAATTCAATGAAGAATTTTACCATATGTTTCACTGCATTTGAAAGCTTATGATTTGTACTCAGAAAAGTAATACTTCTGCAATAGTTTATCAATGGGACGCTATCACAATACGGGGGCATTTTGGAAGCCTCATTGAAAAGTAGCGTTGGAAAAAGCTCTTTTTTGTTGGAAACGGGACAACTTCAGGTGGGTGAAGAAGAGGCTCGAGCAGGGTGAAAATCGTGTCGAGTACGTGGTCGCAGAAGTACGACCCCCCCCCGAAATCGAGATCCTGGCACCCCCCAAAACAGAGCAAATTAATTCAATTAATTAATCAAAATAAATCCTGCAAAATAAATCAAAAAAATCCTGCAAAATAATGTTATGGACGCCTCATCTTGTCATCTGTGCACTGTCTTTCATCGCTGCACACTTTTGTGTATTTACTGAAATATCGACTCGAGGAAAGAGGCATTAACTTTGTGTGACCTCAAAGTCAGGTTCGTTCAGAAATGCACAGAAATCCTGAAGGCACGGGGTTGCGATTTAATCTTAATTCCTGCTTGAGTATATCGAAACAGCCGAGTGTATCAACGGCCGATTCAACGGCAGCTGCGGCGCGATTGTCACTGGGTCAGATTTGCTGAAATCCGAAAAAAAAACCGTCGAAATCTACACCCTCGATGAAAAGGTTGCATTCCTCCATTTCATAACCTTTGAAGCAGTTTGAGGTAGGGTTAGATAGAGCTGGATTTCGCGTTTCCAAGAAGTATTGAAATTGCTCTGGAAAGCCTTCCATGCAGAAAGATAGGGTCTCTCAAATTTCGTCGAGTAAATGTCGAGGAGGCCGAAATTTTCACGCGAGTTTTTGCCACTTCAAGAGCAATATATCTCTTATATTGTAAGATCCTGAAAAAGGGAAGATAGTTTTGGAAAGCGGAAGGTTTGCGCTTCCTGATGGTCTGTTTAGTTTTCTTCTACAGCTTTTTGGTTGAAGAGATAATTGCGTCGAGGATCTATCGAGGACGGATCCGGCCACCTGAAAATCCGCTCCCTTCTTCACCATTGCAAGTGTAATTGTTGGCAACGCTTGAAATGGGTCTAGAAAACATCCTCCCAACATAAGCAATAGGAAAAGGGGCAATCGTCATCATCGAATTTTGTCTGAGTATAGGCCATGCATCCGACCTCACTCGAAGTTGCAGAATCGATTCGAAGGTGTCATATGATCATTACCAGTTGACAGAGGCTGCATTGTAGTAAACGCATTTCGTAACTCCTACAACCTGAAGAACAACTTCATTTGCCCAGGGCTTTTCCTTCACGGTTGTCGTTTTTGCGACAGGGTCCCTAACAACAGTGTCATTCTCAGCGAGGTATTAAGGGAGAAGGAGCGAGCGATAGGCAGAGGAGGTGCCTTTGCAGCGCGTGCGCACATGTGGCAGTCTTCTTTGCGGGGATGCACTTTCATTCTTTGTACTGCCTTCAAATACGCCCTTCTCATGAAGGTGGAGGAATGGAGCGACTGAACCTGCAAAGAAAATTTAATATCATGTTTTTTTTCAGATATTTTCATTTTCTGCTGCGCTATACCCTCTTACCTATCTGCACCACGATACCACTGCTGTTACTGACCCCAAGAGTACGACCCCCCATGGACCAGCCCGACAGGTACGACCCCCTGTCGAGGATTTCCTCGACCGATATCACTGCTTCAGGGTAGTGGACAATTTAATTTTTCCCCTATGTCCCTGCCTTCTATAACAAATGTTAAAAGGAAATGCCCCCTATCTTGCGATAGCGCCACCAATGGTCATTTTATAGTCTTGGAGTAAATATTCGCTTGCATTAGCTGGCTTTACATAATTTGCGATATTTTGCCAAGTTCTGGTTTCGTTTCAGTGCCACCAGAAATCGTCCTGAACAAGGGCCACGACACTTCTGTGGATCTTTGGGCGTTGGGCATCTTCTTGTATGAACTGCTGTCTGGAAAGTAAGTATTACTGGTAACTATGCGTGACAATAAAGTATTATCCACTCAACTGAAGTGATCTTTCAGGCCACCATTCTCAAATTCGGATCCATTGGTCGTCTATAACGCGATACTGAGAGGATTCAGCAAGTGGGCTTGGCCCAGGTAAGCCTTCTCCTCTACTTCATGGGTTTGAATACCCAATCACTATGCGTCTACCAGTGAATCAATCCAATCTTTCAGATGTTTCTCCAAGGAAGCAAGGGATTTGATACTGGCACTGTGTAAAGAGGACCCGGGCTTACGTTTGGGCTATGGCCATCTCGACGACGTTCGTGCACACTCGTGGTTTCACGGATTCGACTTTGTCGAATTCCGTGCGCGTAGAATGAAACCACCAATAGTGCCGGTGGTGAGTGCCCATTATCACTGATAACAGTTATCTTATCGATTTATTGATTGGGATTCTCTAAAATCAATTGGCTTCTGTGCCATGCCTTCGTTCCCATCACCGGGTTGTAGGGATAAGTGTTTCTGAAACGTTCGATGTGTATCGCGGCCAACCATTGCAGCCTTCTGTGGGTTCAGGCTAAGCGTCTAGGGTTTCCCTTGGGACCGACTTAGAAATAGATCTTTGCATTCATTCACTTGGTGTCACGTTCTGCCCTTCGATTTCGAATTTACCTCCGCTTTTTATTTCTTTTTGTTGGCATGGTTTCGTTCGTTGATCGCGTGCGGTCGCGGTGCGGCGTTAGCGATGAATCGATACGCATCTCTTTGTTGTGAATCGATCGATTCGCCGCATTGCGCCGCGTGCAGCTTTTGTAAAGAGGCGCACTGTGTAGTACAGATAGACTCGAGAAGACTTATGATCCCAAGAGCTGGCTGGCCTACGGCGTTTCTGCTTCGAGGGGTGACTCCATGGGAAATAAGGCTGTTTGATCCCCATCGAATACAACCGGCTGGATTTAGCGCTCCTGAAACTTTGCCCCAAGCCCTTTATTAATTTTAGATTCTATCAGTTTATGGTTTCTTTATCGATTTTATGGTCACCATTATCAATTATTTATGATTGTTTCAGGTGAAATCAGACGTGGATACGAGTAATTTTGACACTTTCCCTTCAAACGACTCATTTGCTACGGGTAACGACGAGTCTGGCTGGGATTTTGACTTCTGAATCGAGCTTACACCTACATATCATTTCATTGTACAGATTTGTAATATATGTATTTCTCAAGGCTTTCTAATTTGTGCCATATTGTATATAATTTTAGCCTTAAATTTCTTCTACCATTGTGATTGTTGTATGCGTTGTAGAGACATAACTGTGTCGAAAGTACCTGCGAGGGAATAAAGATGTCCCTGCTCAAAAACTCGGGTCAAGTGAACAGATGAGCAGGCAAGGTGGCCTCATTTAGTGACCACCCAAAATACTTGAGTCCTCGTTGATCTCTGGAATCGATCTTGCCACACGGCCATCGGACTCCGCCTCGGTTCGGAGCAGCTCGCCGGCCCATTTTGCATGCTATTTATTTCCAAACAATTTGATTCTTGCATCAGCATTTATTATTGATCTTTGAATATTTATAGGATTGTTGAATG